CAGGATCCAGGAACCAAGATCCAAGATTAGAGAGTCCTGAGCATCTTGGTTCTTGGTTCTTGGTTCCAGGCGCCTGGCTGCATTTAACTTAAATTTTTAAATGCGCATTTAAATGCGCGGGTCTCGTTTCAGCAGATAAGGCCATATTACCTTTCTAAGACGTGTACCCCTCCTGAATTTAAAGCCAACCTTAAAGCGTTCCTAAGGAAAATGAGGCATCCTCAAGCAATTTTCTTGAAATACACTAAAAACGGTGGATCTTTGGGGGGGGGGGTACCAATAGGTTATACTATATTATATTATATTATAATGGATTATAGTACCCTAAACCCAGCGTTTCCTGCCAGGATGGTGTGGCCTTTGACACGATGGCCCCCATCAAAGAAGTTAGGAGGCTGACAAAGGACGGGGTGATGTGGTTTTCTGCAAGCAAGAATTCCAAGTGCTTTTACAAGGTTATTCCTGCTGGGCGCACGGCTTGCAGCCTGAGATCAGATGCAATATTGCCGAAAGCATGGACCGTGTAACAATCCCCGCTATTGACACCTGTGACAAAGACTGTTTCATGCGGACCCTCCGGTAGTAATAGGTCTCCCAAGGCCCTAACTGATTTCGGTAAAGATGTCATTCCCTTGAAAACGAGTGGAAATTAAGCTACAACAAGCGTGGCTAAATGGCTCAGTCGTTCTTGACATGATGACATCCTGAATCCATGTTGTTCGGCGCAATTTCACAACTTGACATCCCTGTAGAGCAAATACCTACTAAAGCACATGCCAGTATGCTCCTAGTTACTAGTTTTGCGAGTCCTATGATGCTGTGCCAGTTCCTGAAGTCAAGCTACACTTCTGGCTAGTCACGGCTACAGACTGCGTTCTACAATCCCCCTACCACAGACTGTTGGTTCTGGTGCCTGTGTCCCTGTCTGTGCATGTTGCAGTCAAGCTCAGTAGCTACTCACTCACAGCCGTATCCTAGGACCAAATATGCCATGATTCATGGCCACAAATCTTCCACATGAAGCCCTTGTGCGCTGCAGCCAGAATGCGCCAGGAGTGGATTGCCAAGGACCGGAAAGTGTCTGCCTTGAAGGACGGAGCTTTCCCACAGAACACCGTTTATGGTTTGGAGCTTGGGGCGGTTGGACATGTTATGTTTGATAGCTCAGCTGAGCTTCTAGTGGATGCACAGCTAATCTATTTTTGAACTGGCCTCGCAGCCAAAAGGGCCCTCGAATTGCTATGGGGGTCCCACAGGCAGCTGTGCATGTTACGCATGCAGCGTCGCGTAGCTTGCCATGAAGCATTGTGAGGTTACCTGGCTTCTGAAGCAACATACAATACATCTGATCACTCTGAATTCGTTGAAAGACAATCCGCCAGATTTCGCATGAACCTACTTACTAAGTCTCCCTGACCCTGCCAGTAAGGCCCCTGAATCGTAGCAGAGGACCTTCAGGGCCGACTCTGGCGAGGCGGCTACGAGCGCAAGGAGCTGACGAGCCAGATGTTCGAGGTGAGAATGACAACCAGGGTTTTGGGGATTAGGGTTATAGGGGTTAGAGTTTAGGGTTAGGGGTTTAGGGTTTAGGGGTTTTAGGGTTTAGAAGTCAAGGGTTTCGGGGTTTAGGGTTTAAGGGTTTAGGGTTTAGGGCGGGGCTTCAAAGGATCGCAAGCACTGTCCACACCCCAATCATAGAGAACCAAATGGAAAAGAACATGGAATATGAAATGGAAGCTCCTATATAGGGCTTGCTTCGGGATACCACCCCCAATAAATGATGTTTTCCAGGCTTTAAGAGCGGCCCTTGATTCCCAAATCTTTCTTGCAAGACTTTGTATGTGACTTCTTGTGTCATCCTGCCCTAAGCCCGCATCAGACATCCTACATGCTAAGCTAGCTTGCCCCTGGTTAGTGGGGAATGAGGACATGGATCGTCATAGTATGTGACGTAATCCCTATATAACTTCCTATAATTATAATAAAGGAGAGACATTTTCCGGTCCATGTCTTCATTCTGCTAACCAGAGGAAAGTAAAACCCTCAGCCCCAAACCTCAAGTCCCCCCTGGTGATTTCCCTAAATAGGGGGAACCCAATATAGACCCCAAAAGATTATAATCCTCATCATAAGGATCCCCAAATGGACCCCCTATTTCGGGGAAATCCGAAGCCCTATACATCCCGACACCCCCGATATAACCCCTATAAACCCCTTTAAGGGGACCCCTAATTTTGGGAACCCCCCCCAACCTATCCCTAAACCCTAAACCCCAAACCAACAATATGACTCAAATTTAGAATGATGTTCTTAATTTTGGGAAACGCCCAATTGTTGGAGGATACGCCCGAAGCCATGGCAGCTTGGGTGGCAGCTGGCCGGCGGGTGGCCATCTTCTCGTCGGGTAGCCGGGAGGCTCCAGGGCTCATGGAGGTTGGGGGTTTAGGGTTTAGGTTCATGGGGGTTGGGGGGCTTTGGGATTTAGGGGCAGCGGTGGGGACATGAGGGGGACATGAGGGGGACATGAGGGGGACATGAGGGGGACATGAGGGGGTTTGGGATTTAAGGATTTCGGGGGCGTTTTAGGGCCTGGTTTGTGGTACTGATCTTGCTTTTTTGAAGTGTTGGTCCATAGAAGACAGGTAAGCTATCAGCACGGCATGAGGCTTTCTGTGCCGCTCATGCCATGATGTCTTAAGTGACTCCGCAAAATTGTTGTTATCAGCTTGCAGCCTCTGCTGGCTGAAGACAATGCAGTGCCGTGGTGATGTCTAGCCCCGCAACTCGCAACCAGAAGCTTTCAAAAAAAACAGTTTGCCCAGGCACAGAAGCTCATCTTCCAGTATTCGGATAAGGGGGACCTCACACCCCACATCGCGGCCTACTTTGATCCCAAGGCTGCGCAGGCCGGTGGTCGGAGTCAGTTCAAGTTCACTTCAAGGGTGTCTGCTTCAGATGGTACCGTTTCTCACGGCGGGACATATAGTATATAGTATGTAGCACTTAGTATGTAATATTATACAGTATATAGCATCTAGTTTATAGTAAATAGTACCTGGGAATTGGCAAGCATGATGACAGCTACCACTTTTTGAAAAATTACTCAGCAAACTTCACGCACTGCAGCAGATGGGTCAGACCTCAAACTGCAGCATTTTGCGTGGAGGAGGTGGAAGGATCAAGTACAGAGGACCTTTTCATGCTCCTGCTCCACTCATGAACCAGACATACGCAAACCTAAACCCTGGTAATTAATTAGCATCATGTGACTTGGACCGCCGTGCAGGCGTCAAAGCAGGAAGCCAAGGCTTACACTGAGATTGCCTTGTCCTTGGGCATCGAATGCAGCGAAGGCACCAAGCTGCTACCATCAGCAAACTGTAGTGTTTTAGCATTATATGCTGTTCTTTGGGGCCCCTTGTAGCCTGGCATCCCGCACCGCCGGAGTGAATACATGGGATCGTGAAGGCCTCATCAATAACTGGTTCTCTTCTTCGGGGTGTGTGGGTGAGCCGAACCTCGAATGCCGTGGTCTGCAGAACTAAAGGAAAGGTGGGCGCAGTCATGACTTCACATTCTTGATCCCTACTATGCATATACCCTATGTATTATTGCATACATGGTACACATGTGAGCTACTGACAATATGAGCCTTATGAGAGGACCCTTGGTAGTGGACAGGGGTCCCTCTTGTAGTTCAGTATAGTCCCTAATCTAATCCCTTATAAAGAACCGAGGTCAATGAATTATCTTGGTAATATTGACTGTAGCTCGCGTATCTACGCATTTGGTGTATGTACATCGCCTGCCCGCGATGGCAGCCCCAGGGCTCTTCTGCACGGACATCCTTGGTGAAGCGCAGGCCGCCAGCAAGGCCTCCGCGATGCTACACGGTTTAGGGTTCAGGGTTTAGGATTTAGGGTTACGAGTCAAGAGTTTAGGATCTAGGATTCAGGGTGTAGGGCTTAGGGTTTAATTAGTAATTAGGGTTGCGGGCTCATGTTGATGCGGGACACTCCCCAAGCTTTGGGCTAAACAGTGGAGCTATGATTGGCAGGAAGCTCTATGTAGTCGTTTGCTGCAGAAATGCGGTCCCGTTCAGGGTTTTTTGTATGCAGGATCTGGGTATTGTAGGTGATCTTTCAGTATGCTCATGCCGACTTAGGGAGAAGATGGCAATTACTTACCTAGATGATTGAGGCTTCTCTCGTCCTTGGACAGTAGACTCGGCGCTCTGGATGAAGATCTCCAGCATGCAGGCATGCAGCCTAGGATTCTTGAAGGAACTTAGCTGAAATTACCACCATAAGCAAATCCCTACTACTTGTCCCATCTTTTGTAAACAACTTTCTATGAACTAGGAACCTTTGGATCCGCAGGATACTCAGGGCCCTTCGCAAGGCAACTTTAGGGGAACAGTTTCCAAGTTACTTGGGCCTTGAAACAGCGACCTGGGTTGGGTTCTTCTAACATTCCAGAAATCGTCCTGCCGCTCCGGCCCTACACTGGACCTCAAGCTATCCCTAGGGAATAATGGAAAAGAGAATGGAAGCGACTATAGTATATTGGGGTATATATAGGGTTACATGCACCCTCAACAGGGTTGCTGTTGAGGAATTTAAGCTGAATAGCCAGAATATGGATAGAAATTGGATGGTATCGTTTCCTTCTGCCGGTATCTTAATCTCTTTTTCGTCAGCAGCAACACCGGTCAACCATAGAAAAGCAGGAAGGCGGTAAACCCTAGATCAAACCAAGTTTCCATTTGAGTTTCCGCGTTCTCTTCCATTTGATTCTCCACTACCTCTAAATCCATACCTCCTAGGGTTGATATTATAGGCCCCGCTTAAAGGACCCCCCCCAAAATCCATGACTGGGGTTTGGACAAACCTTACATCCTAAACCCTACCATTAGGGGCCATTGGGGCTTGATTGGGGGTTTGGTTTTTGTGGGGGCTGCTCCAAGTGGACCGATACATGTCAACCCAAGTAACCATAAACGAAATAGTAGTTTCTATTTCTTTTTCTTTTTCTTTTTTGTTTGATTCTCCTATATATCCGTTTTCAACACCTTTAGAGCCAAAAGTTTCTATTTACTTTTCAATTGATTCTGCATTGTTATTCTTCTTTACATGGACAGCAGGACTATCGTGCCCAGTCAAGCTATCCCAAATTCGAGTCGAGTTGTTTGTATGCCCTACCCTCGCAGGACTATCCTATGACTCCTGTAGGGTCCTTACACGTATTGGCGTTGGGGTAACCCAAAGCCCAAACCCTAAGCCTTTAGCCCTATACCCCTGAAAGCCTACACCCTAAAAACCCTAAAACCCTAGACACCTTAAACAGCATAAAACCTAAAATTCTCAAAGTCCTAAAAACCTTAGTGCCCTTAAAACTTAAACCCCTAAGCCACATGGCAAGACAGCAGGCGGGCTGGCAAACGGTCCTGCTGCTGCGGCCTGGCAATGCTCCGCTGCCCGCTGGCCATGGCTTTCGGGAAGCAAGGCTTTCGCAGGGGTGTAGGGTTTAGGGTTTAGGGTCCGAGGGTTGAGGTTAGGGGTTTAAGGGTTTGGGGTTTAGGGTTTAGGGATTTTGGAGTGTGGCGGTTTAAGGTTCAGGAAAATCTTGGGAGTGTTTGGAAGTTCGTTCTTTGGATTCTGAAGGGTTTGGACAGGTGTTTCACGCTGATGTTGAGTTGTGATAAACTTCTGGGCGATGGTAGGCGCGCTATCTCTGCCGTGTCTTCCATGTCACGTAGTGGCCTGCATGGTCACCAGCATGTTATTCTAGAAGGGTCTGTGCCGTGTTGGTAGCAGGCACTTGGCGAGTGATGTTGTGCAACACTGTAGGGGTCTTAGGGTTTGCGAAGAGCATTGCACAGCGACGTGCCATATGTCAGAGCTTACAGGCCTTGCCTCAGCGTTTACTGAACCTTGCACATCCAGTGGCCCAGCCAACAACAGCAAACTCGCCCCGACATAGTATTACAAGTGGACCATCATGGATACAACGCGTCTTGGCCACTCCGGATGACTGTTGCGTCATGAATAATTATTTGGATGTTTAAGGTTTCCAGGCCTCAGACCAGCTCAGGCATAGCCAGCTGTTCTTCGCAAAAGCTTTAGCTAAAAGCTTTCACATCCCACAGTCATCCTCCAACTTACCGGTGCTTGGGGGCGAGCGGAAGATTGAACAAATGCATAGCCTTGCAATCTTACAAGGAGCCTTCTGGACGTTTGCTGAGATCGTGCTGGAGCTCTCTCATTTCGATCTCTTCTCTAATATTACGAGAAGCTGATCATTATCGTGATAGACTTTGTTGCGCAAGGTGCTTACGCAGCTTTCAAGTGCCCGCGTCAATGGCCCTCCATGTAAGTACCTTGCGCAGCGTGGCTTTTGATAGCCATGGACCAGTCACGGCCATTGATTCCAATCCCATGTTTTAAAGACACGTTTGAAGCTAGGGCTTGGCGCGAGCAAGCTCAATCAGCCTCGACGAGACCCGCCCGCCGCGAAGCTAAAAAAGGAAGAGATAGGAAGAGCCATTTTGCCAGCAGCTTCTACCGGAAGCAGGGTGCTGAGACGTTTCGCTTGGCTGTGCCACAGCAAGCTAACATCTGCACTTCCAATGCCCGCTCAATGTGCAAGCGGAGAACTGCACAGATTCCACTTGAGACTGTTCTTATTTTTGTCAAGGTTTTTGCCTTGCCAGTGTTGACATGTTATGCGCAGGCAGGCAGGCAGGCAGGCAGGCAGGCAGGCAGGCAGGCCCATTCTTTCATTAGCGATAGACTACCAGAGATGCACAAATGGCAAACACTTATGTGCGTTGAAATGATAAGGGATGTTCTGCCCAGAAGACCGTCACAGAGACAAAGAGATCCTCATATTCCGGTTATATGCACGCATTTTGGGTGGCTCCATACCCTTACATTTTGGGAAGCGCTTATCTCCGCGGCTTCCAGCTCCCATGAAGGAGCTTAAGGTGGTTCCATGGATCAACAGCAGCTCTGATTGAAGCGGCAACTCATAGGGTCTGTAGGGGTCAGCGTCGCGAGGTTTTATTTGTGGACAGGCAGACAATTTTGGGCATGGCCTTTTGAGTCGGGAGTGCAACTTTGTTTGATGCACAAGTTTGGCATGCTTGGATTCGGGTCCTGCCAAGACCTGTCCTGCCGTCGTGCACTTTAGACTTTACTTAGGGGTACTTGGAAATAGTCTTTACGTTGTGCTTACTATAATCCTAAGGAACAGCAAAAATTACACTTTTTGCTATGGTTCCAAGTTCCCCCAATGTTTAGAGATCCTCCTCAGAAAATAGTTTGCTGTGGCCATGCCTCATGCCAAACCATAGGTGCTCAACAAATTTACCCCTGTGTGCTGGGTGTGATCCAACAGAGAAGACCTGTTTCTTGGTGAAAGCATCCTTCTCGGAGGGCCTTGTGTGTATGAGAGCCTTCGAGAATTACCTCATCCAACAGAGACTGAGAGCAGATTTGGGGCGTTGCAGCTTCAAACGACTGGCAGGCAATTTGTCGTCTTACAGTTCATTGAAGATTTTTTGCGGCATACCTGAGTTATGTAGTATTCCAGTGTTACTAGACTTGCTGCTGTTCCTTTAGTTTTTGACTATCACTACGATTTTTCTGTTACTCATCTTACTACCAGTAGGACAATTAATATTACTACTAGTATTACTTGCAGTATGCTTACAAAGTCCAATTCGCAGGTCTCTTCGCCGACGCAGGTAGCCAGTACTGCCGGATGCTCAGGCAGCAGAGGTTTGGCATTACGGCTTAGCATATTAGGGTTAGGGTTCATTTCTTGGGGGTTTAGAATTTTAGGGTTTTGGGTTGCAGGGTATTTTACGGCCAGTATGATTTGATGATTATGGGGGTCTCTCAAAATCGGGGGCCCTGGCTGGCCCAGGGACATCTGGAAGATGTATTGGGTTCCGAGTATATTACTACAAGTTACTACAATAGGGGTCTACACAGCTTCATGTGTTGCTGTTTGGCTGAGGTTATCTAGGAATGTTGATGAGCCCCTGAAGAGGCTGCGCTTCTGCATTCTGGGCGGACTATACCAATGGTAAGCCTTGGGTCTCACACACCCCTGAGAATCTGCGGCTGGTGGACTTTTGGTATATCATAATAAGACCCCATACACCCAATATTCTATTTATTTCAGGGGGACTGTACCCTAAATAGTAGTTTCCATTTTCTTTGCCATTATCCCAATATAACCCCAGATTCTATCTACTTAAGGGGGACTATACACTCTAGGCCCTAAACTTTTGTAATTCACGGCAAGCTGACTGCAGACCTGCAGTCTTGAGCCTAACCATGAGAATAGTCAGTCCTACTGTTAAGGTAGAAGCCTGAGTAGTTAAGAACGAGGGTTTAGGGTTTAGTGTGTCTCCTCAGTACGTGACCTTATTTCGGCATTATACATCCGCAAGAAACCACCTATATGAGCTATAGTCTACAGTCCTAGTATCCCCATTCATAACCCCTATAATGCTCCCCTATATCATCCCGTATAGAACACCCCTTCAAGGAGATTAGACTACGGCTCGTATGTTTTGAATCGGAATTTTGTGTAGAACCTTGTCTGCCAGTTGATCCTTCAGAACTGTCAGTATCTTGACCCACTGAACCCTGCTCCATAAGCCGTACCCAAAGTATCAGACATTACGTTATGATGGGAGCTGCACAGGGGGCCATTTTTGACAACCTCCGACATCCTAAGCCCGAAGCCCTAAGGAAGATAGAAGCTCACTATCGAAAGACTGCTATAAACATGTCATAGACTTTATGAAGATATCTTCAAGAAGAGGATGATATTTCGGAGGAATCTCGAACATTAGTCCTA